GGGGAGAGGGAGAGTTCTGTAAACCACAAGGGACAATAGTCATTAGGTACCTAGAGCGCGGATGACGAAACTCAAATCACAAACCGGAGCCCGGCGGGCCATCAGCCTGCTCAGGTAGAGGGTGACGGGAGACTCTCAGAAGTCTGCGCGCGGGAGACACTGGTCCGCGCGAGCGGATTGGGCAGCTCCGAACGAGCTGAGCCTAAGAGGCGGAACTTCCGGCCGCCTCCGCAGCTGTTGTCAGGGAGATAGCCTCTGGGAAGCGGAAGGATCTAGCGAATAGTCGACGCCCAGCGGGCGCGGGCTCTTTGGCTGCTATGGCTGTCTCGGAATCCCGCTGTCGGATTTGGTCCCTGTGTCCAGAGGTGCCATCTGCCACCTTCTTCACTGCGCTGCTTTCACTACTGGTGTCCGCGCCCCGCCTGTTCCTGCTGCAGCCGCCCCTGCCGCCCTCCGGCCTCTCGCTGCGATCCGATTGCCTGCGCAACTGGCAAGGTGAGCAGGGCCGCCCCGGCTCGCGGTGTCAGCCCTTTTCCTCCGACCTCGCCAGGCCCAGGGCTTCGGCCTCCCAGCACCCGCGCAGTCAGGCCTTACCTCCAGCTACTCCGTACGCATCATCATTCTCCCTACCCGGAGGACCAGCCCCATATTCCACGTCTTTGTCTTTCCAGATCCCCATCTTCGTCGTCACTGTAACCTTTCCCTACTCTAAATTGTTCCCTTCCCTGTCTCCACAGGTTTCATTCACCCATACTCGATTTTCGAGGAGAAGGGTTTTTCCTCTCCCTCTCCCTTGTCATATACACACTTAAGTCTGCTTCAGGGCCTAACCCCCACTGAAATTTTTTTCTCGAGCCTTCATCAAGACATTACAACTTTATCTGTGGCTACCCCTATAAGCGTCTTGGCCTCTTGAGGTTTAAGATTTCTTCTGCTTCGTTTGTATCTTAATCCTGACTCAGATTCCCAGCTCATGGGGAGGGGCATCTTGTGCCTTTGGGAGAGGTGTTTGTTTTCTTTGGGGGAGAGAAATTTGCAGACCAATTAAGTAGAAACATCTGCAATAAAATCCCATTCTTTTCTGGGGAGGAAATGGGAAATTTATATAACCCTTGCTGTTTTGCAAAGCACACTCACATGCATTAAACTCATTTAATCCTCTCAGTGATCCCATGATGTAGGCTTTATTATTGTCCATTATTTAGCTTTGGAAGTATTCAACAAATAATGGCATACTCTTTAGATAATGAAGTCTAACAGAGATGGCCTGACTTAGGGTCATAGCCTGCCTCCCTGTTCAAATCTAAAACTTTCCCCCACTGGGACACAGAGCATGTCATAGGCAGTTGCAAAATGTCACCCTAATCTGAGCTCCCCTTTTTTCTTTAATTTACAGCTTCTCTGAGTGTGGGATTCATGGGCATATGAGTATTAGACACATAAAAGACCTTTGAAGGCCTCAAGTATAATATGTTATTTCACAATGAGGAAACAAGCCAAGAGGCTCTGTGACTTGACTAAGCTCAGCCAGTAACTTGACTAAGCTCAGCCAGTAACTTGACTAAAGTCAGCCAGCCTGCACACATAGAGTCAAGATTACACTCCAAGTCTTCAGGTTCCTAAGTCCAGTATTACTGCCACTTCACCAGTCCCCCTCCTTCAGTTTAATGTTTTGGCCTATAGGGACATAAAAGTACATAAGAGATGACTGCTTTTAGAAATATAAAAGTGAAATTCTTTTCTGTCTTATTGCACATAAAGTGTCACTCTACCTGTAGGATTGGGTAAGCACTCTCAAGGAAGACTTCTGAGTTTTACATCTATATTCTTAGTGATAATTTTTATATCTTTTATATCTAGATTATAGTGATAATCTTTATAGGTGCAAAATAATTCATGGTCCCTTTTTTCTTCCTCTGAACAGCCACTATGGAAGGAGAGGTCAGGATTACAGCCGAGGAGACTGGCACACAGAGTGTTAAGGGACACCCACTCAATCCACCCTGAAGCTGTTACAATTAATTAACCCTCAAACTGCCTGGTGAGATAGGTCAGTATTAAAACCTAAAAAGGGGGCATAAAGCAAATTACAAATTTGAAGATCATCCCATGCTAAAAAGTGTTACTTACTTTTTCACGTGGAAATCAGTTACTGATAAGACTTACTCCAGGTGTGGGAAAGAGCAGGGATTTAAACATTCATGCCTCTATTTTGAGTCTTAGGTTCTGATCATTGTTGCTTCCCACTGCTTATCTTGGCTCCTGGCTGATTTTCACTGGTTCTCAGTTGTTTATTATGGGAGCTACTCCCCCTTTTCTAGGTGGGTTGTAACTTGGAGCAACCCACTGTCAGCCTCTAACCCAGCTCCCTCTGCAGTTTACAGGCTGGTGACCTACATATTTGTCTATGAGAATCCAGTCTCCCTGCTCTGCGGTGCTATCATCATCTGGCGCTTTGCTGGCAATTTTGAGAGAACCGTGGGCACCGTCCGTCACTGCTTCTTCACCGTGATCTTCACCCTCATCTCCGCTATCGTCTATTTGTCATTTGAGGCCGTGTCATCACTGTCCAAGCTGGGGGAGATGGAGGATGCCAGAGGTTTCACCCCAGTGGCTTTCGCCATGCTGGGAGTCAACGCTGTCCGCTCTCGGATGAGGAGAGCCCTGGTATTTGGCATGGTTGTACCTTCAATGCTGGTGCCGTGGCTCCTGCTGTGTGCCTCCTGGCTCATTCCCCAGACCTCTTTTCTCAGTAATGTCTGTGGACTTGGAGTTGGGCTAGCATGTATCCTTCCTAGAAGGGAACGATAGAATGATGACATCCCAAAGGGTGGACCAAGTTGGAGGGTCTACAGGGGTCATGTAGGTAAAGCCATGGGCTCAAATATAGATAATCTGGATTCTAGCATTCAGCTTTGAAAACCATGTGGCCCTGGGTGGGTTGGTTGCTTCCCTCTTCTAGGCTAGAATTTCCTCATCTGGAAAGTATTAACATAGCTATCTTTTTGTGCCTGCTTAGTACTGCCAGTTAGGAAAATATTCTAATATGGCCCTGGCTGGTATGTCTCAGTGGTTAGAGCAGCGGCCTGAGCACTGAAGGGTCAGGAGTTTGATTCCCGGTCACAAGCACTACCCGGGTTGCAGGTTCGGTCCCCCGCCCCAGGGTACATGCAGAAGCCAACCAATCAATGTGTGTCTCTCACATCAGTGTTTTCCTGTCTCCCACCACCCCTTCCCTTGCTTTTTTCTCTAAAAATCAATAGAAAAAATATCTTCAGTGAAGATTAACAACAACAAAAAGTTCTTATATTTTTCCTTGTAAACTAAGGTGTAAATGTGCGTTTGACGAATTATGTTAAGAGTTTTCATTGGAAGAATCTGAAATACCCATGAACTGGATATGTTCCATGAAAGGAATAGGAAACAGGTTTGTTTGTTTTAGTTTTTGTTTGGGTTAGTCTTTTTTTCAGTAAAAAACACATACACACAAAAAACAACACTTTTTTTTTTTTTTTTTATGATAGGCTTTTACCATATAGGTGGTTAAAAAGTTAGGATAAGCCCGCTGGTGTGGCTTAGTGGTTGAGTGTCCACCTATACACCAAGAGGTCCCGGTTCAATACTCGCTTGATCCCCAGCAGAGGGAGTGCAGGAGGCAGTCAACGTTTCTCTCCCTCTCCCTTTCTCTGTAAAATCAATAAAAACTTATTAAAAAACAAACAAAAAACTTAGGGTAAGTTTTACATCACTTGTATAAATATTCTTGCATTTGGGGGAGGGGGGTAACTAAAATACAAAGTGGGTTACTTGTTTTAAATTAAATTAATTTTATTTTAATAGAGAGGAAGGGAGAAGGAGAGAGAGAGAGAAACACTGATGTGAGAGACAAACATTGATCAACAACCTCCTGGACGCCCCTTACTAGGGATTGAGCCCACAACCTGGGCATGTTCCTTGACCGGGAATTGAACAAGCAACCTTGGGACAACGCTCAACCAACTGAGCCACACTGGCCTGCACATCACATCAGAATTTGTAGTGTTGGGGTTAGACAGATGCATTCCTAAAATCTCTCTTAATTTGTGATTCAATTAGCTATTAGGATAGGTAGTGTATAAATAAATACATATTGATAACAGCTATTATTTTTCTATTTTAATTTAATTTTATTGCTTTTAAATCTTTTTCCTAATATGAAAATTTAAATCCCCTGTAAATACTACTGCATCCCACAAATTTTGATATGTTGTGTTATCATCATTTAGTTAAAAGCATTTTCTAATTTTCCTTGGGATTTCTTTGACCCAGGGGTTATTTATAAGTGAGTTGCTTAATCTCTAAATATGTGGTGATTTTCAGGTTGTATGTGAAAAGAATATGCATTCTGCAGTTGGTGGGTATAGTGTTTAATATATGCCAGTTAGGTCAAGGTGTTGATATTGATGTTGTTCAAGCCTTCTATACCCTTATACCTGTTCTCTCAATTACTGAGAGACAGTTGAAATCTCCAACTAAAATTGTGAATTTGTCTATTTTTTCCTTTCAGTTCTCATCAGCTTTTCCTTCAAATATTTTGAAACTGTTATTGGATGCATACACATTTAGGATTATTATGTCGTCTTAATGAGTTCCCCCTTTATGATTATGAAATTGACTCTTTTGATCTCTGTTAATATTCTTTGCCCTAAAGCCTTTGTTGTCTGGTACTAATATAGTTATTCCAGCTTTCTGCTTTCTTAAAATTGGGATTTGCATGGTATATATTTTTCCATCCTTATATTTTTAATGTGTCTTTATATTCAAAGCATGTTTCTTGTAGATAGCATATTGTTGGTTCTCCAGTCTTTGCCTTTTAAATGGCATGTGTAGCTCATTTACATTTAGTGTAATTATTGATATGATTGGGGTTAAGTCTACCAGCTTGCTCTTTGTTTTCTCTTTGTCTCAAGTGTTCTTTTCCCCCCTCTTCTGCCTTCAATTATATTTTTTAGTATTCTACCTTCTGTTTGATTATTTATCTCTTTGTCTTATTTTTTAATAGTTGCTCTAGAGTTTACAATAAACACTTGTAGTTTATTGCAGACTCCTTTCAGATAATACGAGGTGGGGCAAAAGCAGGTTTATAGTTGTTAGTAGGTGAAATACAGTTTATTCTTGTATTATTATTTATTATATTGTTTTCCATATGAACAACTGTAAACCTACTTTTGCTCTACCCTGTATACCACCCCTCCCCCCCTTACCTAGCTGTTGCTACTCACAATTTAGGGTTCAGCATACACATTATTCTGTAGAGAAAGCCTTCCATGATCTCTCTGGACTAGGTTAGGATCCCCAGCAGGCTCTTCAATAGATCAGCTTTTGCTTCTCACCACTTATTCTACCCCAGTTATTTACTCCTTGCCTGACATTTATTATTTATTCCTTAGTTCCTGGTATATGTTACATATTCAATAAATATTTGTTGGAGGAAGGGATGGATGGATGAAGGCTAAATCTTGGTGGCTTCCTAGGCAGTGATGGGGTGACACAGATGACCCAAGTGTTATCACATCACTGGGGGTAATGACAGTGTGGGGGAAGTGCTGCCAAAGAGACCCACATGAAGTTCACTTGGTCATATTGAGGCAGGGTACCTTCTATTTGGGACAAAAGTGCAAGAAGATATCAGTCCCCTCCATAAGGTATTAGGACAGTCTCTGCCTCATCCCACTACAAGGGCAGGTGTGTGCTGGCTTCTGACTGCAGGGGTTAAAGGGGCTCAAGAAATGGGGTGGGTTGGCATAAGGGGAGGAGAAGTGTTAGCACGTATCTGCCCTCTTCTTGTTTTAAAGACTTTTATTGTTTTGGGTTTTCTTAAAAGAGGAAGGGGGAAAGAGAGAAACATCGATGTGACAGCAAAACATTGATCGGCTGCCTCCTGCACAATCCCTACTGGGGATCGAGCCCTCCACCTGGGCATGTGCCCTGACCGGGCATCCCCCTGCCCAGGACGATGCCCAATCAACTGAGCCACACCAGCCAGAGCTCTGCCCTCTCCTTTTGCTGGGCCCTGTTCTCCCTCAGATATAGGTGATGGAAACTCAACTTTTGTTTTCCTCTGAGCTTGAAATATCAGGCAGTTTATGGTGGAAAAAGCACTAATGCCCCTGTGTAATAAATGTGGGAACCTGTATTCTTCTCTGGGGAGTGTTCAGCCCTCCTCTCTTTAGCTGCCTCCAATTTTACTTAATATGCCAACCTCAGATGGCCTCACATACTGCTATTCCCTCGACCTCTCAGAGCAAGTAGCATTGAAGCTTGACCAGAAGTTCCCTTTCAGCCTTATGAGGAGGATTTCAATGTTCAAGTACATCTCAGGCTCTTCAGCTGAAAGAAGGGCAGCCCAGAACCGGAAGTAAGTTACAGAACTCTTAAATCTTATTCTTAAAGTAATTCCAGGGCCTGTAGAAGGTATAACCGGTTCAGTGTCATGGGGAAAAAAAGAGCAGGACATGAGTGGCCTTAGGCCTCAAAAATCTACGCACAGACATCTTCTGAGCACTCGAGATTCTGCCCAACGGCATCTGAAGTAGGGAGTGAGCAGGAATGGGAAGAAGAAGGCATTAGAAGCACACATGAGTGACTTGTAGCAGACTGAGCGAGGGCGTGGCCCTGTCTAATGTTATTACCAACCCTCAGCACACAAGCACTCTGCAGATTGGATTGGGCTCTAGCGTGGCACACTGGTAAGAAGCATAGATAGTCCACACAGCTGACTTGGTGGCTTGGGAGGTAGCAGAGCCTGAAACCTGAAAGGTAGGGTTTTCTTGGCCACCCAACAAGAGAAGGTGAGGTTTACTGTTTTCTAGTACAGGCTCATTCTCAATGAAAGTATTAGGCAAGCCGACGGAGCTCTTGTAGCATCCTTCCTTCCTTTTAGAGGAGACCTGAAGAGGACCAGCTTTTCTCCATGTAACGTGCAGGAGAGCTCAGTCTAGAGCTAGGATCTCCTGCTTCCAGGTCTTCCTTACTCCCATTCTACTGTGCTACACTGCTGGCCTCTTGTTCTCTGGTTTCTGCCCATGCAGAGACTACACTGTAAGAGGTTTTCTTTCCTTCTACAGTTCCTCCAAAAGGAAGGGCTCACTGTGAAGTCAAAATGTCATTGGCCCCTTTCTGCCTTCATCCATCTGTGGAGTAAAATTTGCCCTCTGTGACTGCCTGGATATGGGGTTTGGGTTAAATTGGAAGCTGCTCTTATTTCAGGAGGTGGATGTTCTCAGTCTTCACCAGCTCAAGGCTCTTTGACCATTTTTTCTAAGGCACATGTTTGGGGGATGTGGGTAACTGTAAAAAACAAAAATGAACATTCACCCACTTTGCTTCAGGCAAGTAATTCCTTGGGGCTAAAGTGTGGGAGACTGTTTAAATATAGAATGAGGTGAATTGTGGCATTTGGGCTTTTAATTGTTCTCATAGAACCTAGAGAGGGCTTAAGGGGTACTTGAGTACAATCTCACTTTGTGATAAGAGTCCCCTCTAAAACAGCTGGCAGTGGTCACAGTCACCCAGACTTAAGGTACACCCCCTGGTGGCTGGGAGTTCAATCTCCAAGGCAACCGCTGATGAGAAAGTTCTTCCACGTTGAATTGCAGTCACCACTCCATAACTGTGACTCACTGGTGCCATGTGTGATCCTGCTTCACCCTGAGGCGCAGATCTGGGTGGAGGACATGGTAATTTTTTCAGTTCCTCCCATGTTTGATCCCTCATTATCCTAGCCTGCCATAGGCACCCAGAACAGAACGTGGTGCCAGGTGGCCTGACAGTGGCACACAGGCAACATTAGAATGTGTGTGTTTGGGCAATTGACGTGGCTGTCTGGACAGCTTTGCCCCCCTGGAGGCTCTTGTCCAGCTTCCAGTAGGCCAAAGCCTCTACATTTAAAAATATCCCAGAAGAAGTGTTGTTACGTGTCCCATGTCTGAAATTACTTGTACGTTTGATTTGCAAGGTTAAGTTTTAATTAAAATGTATACAGGTTCAGTCCAATTCCCTAACAGACATCAGTGGTGTTGGCATTTGTTCTCCATGTTTGGTACTTTGCACAAAAGTTCAGAGGATAAAACTTAGGCTATGTCTCCATTCACAGTCTCAGCCACATGTCTCCATGTTGGGGTCAATAACCTCAGCACAGATAGCTCCCAACATCTGTCACTTTGGTTTCTTTCAGCCAGGACTTTGTTTATTCCTGAAATCACAGGTAGAAAATCTCAGAGCAGACAAGGCCTGGGCCCAAGCCCTGTGCTACCCTATTAGAGCCTTCCCACCCTCCTTCCCACAGGGATGGTTCCTTTCTCTTTGGGTAAAATTGCTGAGCCAGCCACTGACTATTGTGATATGGTCCCCCTCTCCGTCTAGTTTGCAAGCTGCTATAAGCAGGTTACACTCAGGTGGTCTCAGTCATGAGCCCAATATCCCTCCCTCCTGCTGGCTTGCTGTAGGACCATGAATGGGTCCTTCCTTCTCTGGGCATCTGTTTTCTGTTTGGTTGAGTTTAACCTTTCTTCCTGCTTAGTACTTAGAGCCAGTTACTGTGATGTCCAAAGCATGTTATAATATTAAGCAGCACAGTGACCCCAAGTTTTTCTCATGTAGAATGACAGCTAGGGGTGCTGTGTGCATTGGCATTTCTAACTGAATGACCATTTTCTCTCTTATTCCATTCCAGGCTAAACCCTGTACCCGGCTCATACCCCACACAGAGTGGCCACCCTCACCTGTTTCCAAGCCACCCCATTGCCCAGATGCAGCATACCAGTGACCACAAACTAGCTTCCTGGCCAGCCTATGCTCCTGGTCACATGCCCAGCCTGCCTCCCTACCAGCCTGCCTCCGGCCTGTGTTATGTGCAGAACCATTTTGGCACAACCCCTAACTTCTGTGTCTACCCAGGTTCCACAGGGGCCTCCTTAGGAGTACAGCCCCCTACACCCCTCAACTGCCCTGGCACTGAATATTCCGGGGCCCTGCCCACTCCAGAGACTACAGGTTCCAAGGAGGGCTCAAGGGTCCTGATCCCCTAATGGGAAATTATCTTACATCTTGATCTTTCTTTTTTTTTTTAATATATCTTTATTGATTTCAGAGAGAGGAAAGGAGAGGGAGAGAGAGAGAGAGATAGAAACATCAATGATGAGAGAGTCATTGATCACTGCCTAGCCCGCAACCCGGGCATATGCCCTGACAGGGAATCGAACCCCGATCGCCTGGATCCTAGGTCGACGCTCAACTGCTGAGCCACGCTCGGCCAGGCTTTTTTTTTTTTTTTTTTAAATATATCTTTATTGATTCCAGAGAGAGGAAGGGAGAAGGAGAAAGAGAGAGAGAGAGAGAAATATCAATGCTGAGAGTCATTGATCTGCTGCGTCTTGCACGCCCCTGACTGGGGATCAAACCACGATCTCCTGGATCCTAGGTCAGTGCTCAACTGCTGAGCCATGCCTCGAGCCACGGGCCTTGACCTTCTGAAGAAGGTTCTCTCTGAGCTAAGTTTTTCTTAACAAAAAATTATTGAACACCTCTATGTGCTAGGCTCTGTGTTGAGTACTTTGATATATGTCCTTTCATTCTCATGACAACTTTGTGAAGTATAGTTTATTGTCACCAGTTTATAGCTGCAGAAGCAAGACTGATTACATGAAGTCGCCTAACTCTGTAGTGGCACCGCTTGGCTTCTTGACTCCAGGGCTCCTCCCACCTGCTGTCCTGCCTCCTAAAGAATGAATACCTGGGAAAAGAGGGCCTGGGCTGTCAGTAGCTGCCAATGGCTAGTTTCAGCTCTGTATTTCCTTCCTGTCACTGTGTATAGTGCTCTTGATTGTATAGTGTCTGTGTCTACCCTTTGGGAGCTCCCAGCTGGTGTGCTCAGCAGTCCTCAGGCCTGTGTAGTGTTTTTCCCCTGCAGTGACCACCCACACCCCCTTAAGACTTCTGCTGCAGAAGTGGTGAGAAGGACCAGTGTGCACCACAGCAGCATGCTGGTCCATCCATAGTGTTGATTACCTTTATATAAAGAAACCACCTCTAACCTGCCATTGGTCTGTGGTCTCTGTGGTCTGGCTGGGGATTATGGAGCAGGATTTGGGCATGGGTGATGGAGGGTTTGATGGCGAAGAGGAGAGAGAGCAGGGGTCAAGTCAGGCAAACGGCCTCCACCCAGTGGGGAGCTGATACGGGAATGAGTTGCAAAGATGCTGGGAGAGCTGAAAGGGCAAACAGGAAGGTTTGGCAGCCTTGGGATTGGTGACAGCAGGAAGCCACTATTAGGGAAGAGGAGGTGTTACCAGAGCTTCAAGTGGGATCGCCAAGGACTGTCTGCTAAGACCTTATACTGTGGAGTGAATGATACGGGCACTGGCAGCTACGGCATCTGAAGCAAGAGTGGGAGAAGAGCCCTAGCTTCTCTGCTTAACATCAGGGTCTCCCATGGGCAAAATTAACCAGGAACCTTTTGGCAAGTGAGCCCATGAAATGTAGCTTAGGGTAGGGGGTGGCTCTGATGCAGAACCGACAGGAATGTGAGCAAACAGGCGCTTGACCAGCCTCAGGAGAGCACATGGCTTCTAATAAGCCATCAGCTGGAGCTCCTCGCAGGCTCACATTGAGAAAGCTTGCCAAGTAGCAGGGGTTTTGATGGATATCGTAACATATTTGTTAATTTCAGGAGCCCGATGGCCTACTCTGAGCTGGCTCCTTGATAGGTTCTGGGTATTAGAGGCACATAAGACACATACAAATCCACCCAGCCCCGATGAGGGCAGGCAGTGACAGGCACCTAGGTGACCTGCACTAGATGGGGTGGGGGATAAAGTAGAAGGTGACCCCAGCTGGATTGTGAATTAGGGTTGCCAGCCAAGGAGTTGGGTGCTCAGACTACAGCTGGGATTTGTCTGCAGTCAGAGCAGGTCAGGCAGGGCCTGGCCTGGGGCCTCCATCCACACTTGGCACTTTCCCATAGTGTCACTCAGTGAACACAGGCTGCTGTGTGTTCCTTAGACTTTTTCTCTCCACACCAGTCCCAGACCTGTACCTGGAAGCAGATGAGGGGGCCACCTGCTCCTAGTGTGGAAAGGTGACATCCCTTATGTCTGGCCTTCCTGCGTGGACTGTGCTGTGGAGCTGCGGAAGCTGCAGGCCTTGGAGATGGCCTGGCTGGGGGGCCCCCCTCACCTGTGAGGGTTCTCGGGTTATTCAGTTCAACCATCTCCTTCATCCCTGGTTTTACTAATGGGGTTCCAGGGAGGGAGGATGGAGTTGGCAGAGCAGCCAGCAGCAGCAACCAACTTGGGCCCCTACCACAACTGCTGGCCTAAGACACGTTCTTTGTTCTGGACTTCTGTTGGTTTGGCCACAGCTAACAGCAGGAAGCCTGTACTGAGGTCAGAGGGGGCCATTTCTTCAATATACATTTTAGAGGACCTAGAGGGGATCCAGAGCCCCTCCCCCATTCGCCTATTGAATCATCCACTAGTGTGTCCCATGTTTGAAAACATTGAGTGTCTGCCAATCCTCAGGCTGGGGCTAGAGACTGAGATGAACGTAAAAATCCACCCAGACTGGTGAGGGCAGAGAACTCCCAACACAAGGCTGATGCTCAATAAATCTTTGTTGAATAACTGAACAGGTGGTCCCTGCCTTTGGAAAGCTCAGGCCAGGGCTGGGGGAAGGGAATGGACAAAGAATTGTAATTCAGCAACACTTGACAGGTGCTCAGAGGTCCTCTAGACCAGCTGGAGAGCTGGAGAGCAGGGATCAGTTAGATACAGAGCACACACCCTGCCACAGAAAGTGGGCTTTGGAGGGAAGGAAGGACTGCACCAACTATGTCTTGTGGCTGTTGTTAGGAGATGAAGAATACAGCACATTCAGCATAAGGGAAAGCCATTATTCCCTGCACTCCAAAAACCTATCCCTTTCAAGGCAGGGCCCACTACAGCCAGAGAAGCTTCTAGACTTTGTCCAGTTTCTTTCCTTCACCAGCGGGAGGCAGCAGAGAAGCAGAATTGAACCATGGCAACCCCTAAGAACCTTCCCTGGAGCAGGCTGGGGATAGGAGGGAAAAAGCTTGCTGCTGTCCTGGCAGAACTCACCAATCAGATTTGTGGACAACTACAGCACAAGATAAGGGCTGTGAAATGCACATAGGAGCAATTCTGTGAGGATTGTACCTTCAATCACCTTTTCTCCCTCCCTCTCTCTTTATTTCTCTCCCCCCCTTTTTTCTTTCTTCCTCCCTCCCTCTCTCTTCTTTCTTTCCCTTCCCCCTTTTTTTTTTCCTCTGAAAATTATAATGTATTTAGAGCTGCAGAAACCTTCAGGTAAACATAAATGAGACTTGCGTATACAGGGTCCGTTTTTTAACCTCATAGGTCCACTGGAAAGTAACATCGATACTCCTGAAAGATGACAGCTTCAAATTTGCAGAACCCACAAATTAAAGCAATCAGCTCTACATAAAATATCTAGAAATTTAGCTGGCATTTTAATATCCCAATAAAGAAACTGAAAACATTCTCTATCAAGGTCATGTGGAATCTACTCTTAAAACAAAAAAGCCTGTCATGATATGTGCAATTCAATTTCAAGTATTTAGTAAAACAATAATTTAAAAAAATTTAAAAAAATAAAAGTATGAGACATATAGACAACAAACAGATAAATATTACAAAACAAATTATCTGATTAACAGATTGTTGAGAAAAACCATTCATTGTTAAGACTAGATGGAAGGTATATGACTGTTCTTTGTCCTGTTCTTTCAGTTTTTTGTTAAAAATTCTTATGATAAAAATTTGGAAAGGAAAGTTACATACATTCTTAGCCTAGAAGTGTAACTGATATATCTTCTCCCCCTTAAAATAAATATTAATTTCAGTAATAATCATATTTTGAGGTTTTTCAGTGAACTAAAAACCACTCAATAAAGTTGAGATATACAGAGAATTAAGTTTGATATGATAGGAGCTCCTGGATATAATAGAAAGGGCTTCTAAAACTCCTTGTTTCTGCCTGAATTCATTCTACTGGAAGCCATTAAAATATCTAAACCCTGCAGATTCAGTAAAAGTTAGTCAATGTAAGTGAGGAAAGTTAGTTCTTGGCTTTTCCTTTTTTTACAGGAAGTTGACCTGTAGCTTCCAAATACTTATTAATGAGTTCCTCTTGGGTGGATGGCGAACATGGCTGATATCTGCAGTACTCCATTGTGTACTCTCCCTTCCCCTGGGAGTTAAAAAACATAGCAGAGATTAAAAAAAACTTTTTATAATAATCAGGTAAAGTCATGCAAAGACAAGATTTTACAAGGGGACTAAAGTAAAATGTAAACACTTGCTTACCTCAGTGCATGACCTAAGCTCAGTGGCATAACCAAACATATCATTTAGAGGGACCTGGAAACAAACACAGTAGATAGTTTACCATTACTTCTTGAAAATATTTGAGAAAAACACAGAGAGGCTTAGCCATTTAATTCCTTTAGACTTAGATTTCTACTAACAACTCTTGGTTTAAAAGAACTAAAAGCCAAAGAGAAACATTTTTGTTTTACTGCAAGTAGAAATCCTACTTGAACATAATTTCATTTGATACTCACAACTAGAAACCAAATGCTTCAGTTTCACAGAGTGGCCGTCGCTGACAGCCTTCCCTCATCACCCCCACTCCACTCTGCCCAGCTCGGCATTCAGAAGTGTTTCTTCTGTGAAACTGTTCATACAACTTTCCTTGAGACACTTCAATGACATGCTGATAGCAGTGTCTCCTAGGAAGCCTTATGGAATGTGATAAATTACTTTCTCCCATGACATTTAAGAAAAGAAATTAAATATTATCCCAATAAATGATAACATAAAGCAGCCATGCAAAGAAAGCTATGAGAAAGAAAGATAACTAAGTATCTAAGAAAATGACATATTCACATAAGGTCTACATGAAATGAATCTTATTCTTAGCTTTCACACTTAAGAGTTGCTCTAACAGCAAATTATAGAAATTGCCACATATAATATAAAAGCCACAAATTCAACACTCAAATAGCCAGGGAAATGTGTCAATTCACTCTACAATCTCCCAAAACAAAAGCTAACTCTAATTTCCTGCTGTGGTTAATAAAAGCAAGACTGGCAGTGACCAACAGTACTTACATCTGCATACAGTGTAAAATAGTCCTCGATTCCATCTTGTCCGGTGATTACCCCATGGCGCCGGTTAATTCCTGCAATCACTGGTCCCTNCCTCCCTTCCTTCCTTCCTTCCTTCCTTCCTTCCTTCCTTCTTCTTTCACAAACACTGTGTCAGCAACTACTAAGTTCCAGACCTGTGCTGGGCTCTGGGGAGATGGAAAAGAACCAGCCCTGTCTCGGATGCACTCATAGTTCATTAAGGGAGACATGTTTTGTGGAGTGAGACGGAAAGGAGCCCACCTGGGAGGGTCACAGAAGAGACTTCTGGGAGGAAGAGAGTTAACCAGACAAGGGAAGGACCAGGAGGACAGAGGATGACAGTGTGAGCAAAGATAGGAAAGTAAGGGGTCCAGTAGGTGGGATAAAAATTGGAGCACAGAGGCTGAGAGGGCAGATAGGAAATTGATGGTTTCAGTAGCCCAAGCTGGAAGTGATGAGAACCTGGCAGTGAGGTTGGACAGGCAGAAACAAAGCCTAGATAGAGCACAAAGCACCTTTCTGGTATCAGAGAGTGTGGCTGAACTGAGTGTGCATGCAGCATTCACACTTGAAGTCCAGGGCTCCTGTCTTGCCTGAAGGTGCCTGCTTGCTCACAGTGAGTGGGATGGGGGAGGGTCCAGAGTAGAGCTGGAGGCAAGACAATCCTGTAGGATGAAGTTTCCCTAAGCATGGAATGGGGGAGGGGGGGAGCTGGCCATCAGAGTGGGTGCTAGACCCTTGGGCTCCTGAGACCTACAGGGGACCTCCCCGGCCTCCATCCCAGGATGCTTCCTGAGTGCTGATATCCATGCCTAGACAGTTGCTAGCTGTAAGAGCAGCACCCCAATCTGGACCTGAAGCTTGGGTCCTAAGGGACCTCCATGCCACCTCCAGGTCACAAATTGCCTGGGACCTTGCTCTATGGTTCTGTTTTGATCCTAGAGCCCCTCCCTAAGGAAGGTGTCCAAAGGCTTGCCTGCTTAACTGTGCATGACCTTGAGCATGACCAACTCACATCCCGAAGCTGCCAGCTTAATGGAACTCCTCCTTGGGGCCTAGCTACAGCCCCCCAGGCACCAACGGTCAGGTAGGCTGCCCATTGAAGTAGCACAGGGAGGACTCCGGACTTCTAGAGCCCAGAGCAGTTGAGACCATGCAGCCACTCCCCCCTCCCCCCACACACACACACTACACAGGCAGTATAAACACACATTTTGAGCTCACACATCTGGGGCCTTACCCACACATTAAGTTCAAGCAGGTAGATACCTACCGAAAAAAATGTACATGTATGTGGTGAAGGCACACGCCTACATGTATTCATACCTATCCATGCACAAAATCATGCATAAGTTGATCTGTGCACAAGTACATGCTGTACATGCATGCATGTGCACATGTCACTTCACAGAGCAAAGCGAGCACTCAGGTGGAAACCACCTAACCCTCTCCTCCCTCCACCTTGCCCAACGTGATCCTAGCCTACCTCCCCAATCTCATCCCCACCACCCTCCTGCCTTTCCCCAAATACCCCATGCTGCTGGCACTGTGTGAGATAACCAGACAGCTGGCAGGGAGCTCTGGAAATGCTCACTTCAGGAGCAGTTGTGACCATTTGTGGCCCATGATGAACAGGGCAACAGGCAAGTCCTCCAAGCCTGTTCCATTTGCCCATCACACCCTGCCTGGAATTGTACCATCAGAGGGCCATTCCTATGAATTAGGCTCATCAAACATTGAGGGAACACTGGAAAAGGTCCTGAGTCCAGCCCTCACACTGTATTCAGAATTGTGAGGCGAGGGGAAGTTTTTGGCTAAGGACACAGCGAACCTGTGACAGAGCCAGCACAGAACCCAGGTCTCCTGGCTTGTATTTGCTCTACTGCTCTGGTCATTGGGTGGAGGAATGAGCTGGTGAACAGCTGGGATCACAAGCAGGTAGGGGCTCTCATCGGGCCCAGCTGAGCTTGCTTGAGCATGCTGACTCCAGGAGCTCAGGCATAGAGTCTGGGGCCCCAGTGCTCATGAGCTGTCCTGAGGCTGTCTTCTGTAAGACTCTTCAGTGGAGGAAGGTGGTATTGGCCTGTGGGAGCAATCCAAACCCTTCCAGAGTGGCTGGGAACTCGGAGACCAGGAGCTCGGGTAAGAGCAGGTGAGACCTCTCTCCCATCAGGCAGGGCCAGGTCCTGGAGGCAGGACGCACGGAACCAATCCCATCTGCAGCCTGGGATCTCCCTGGAGAAAGGAGAGCAGAGGGGAGCACTCCCACCCCAGGACTGGGTGGGATGGACCTCTACCTCTCCCACAATCCCACCCCCACCTTTAGTTCCCCTTGTAGGCACCAGCCCCACTTCACTCACCCTCTGAAAGGGAGATTTCAGGGGACACTTTAAGGGCACAGGAGAAAGGCTCTCCTCTACAAACCCCAACCCTAATCCTTACCCCAAGCAGGGACATGCCCCCTGTATCCTGGGCAGAGCCAGGCCTCACTCAGGAAGAAGCAGAACAGGGTGAGGAGGAAAACCAGTAGCAGCAGCAGCAGCAGGGTGTCCCCACATAGCACCTGCACATGATGTCCACAGCAGAGGACCTACCACCTGGGCCACAACACAGAGGGAAGCTTGCAGCTCAGAGAGCAATCAGCCCCTTCACAGGGCAGCCTCCTGGCCCAGCTTCAGGCATCTCTAGGTGCTTCTAAGCCATTCTCCACCCTCTTGTCAGTATTTTGGGTTGAATTATATCCCCCAAAATGATGTTGAAGTCCTAGCCCTGGTACCCATGAATATGACCTCATTTGGAATTAAGGTCTTCACAGAATAATCCAGTTAAAATTGGGTCATACTGGATTAGGGTGGGTCCTAAATCCAACAACTAGTGTCCTCCTAAGGCCATATGAAGGTAAAAACACAGGGAGACAGACACACACAGGGAGAAGATGGCCACGTGAAAACAGAAGCAGAGGTTGAAGTGATGGGTCTACAAGCCAGCAACAGGTCTTTGGATTGATTGCCAGAGGACACCAGAAGCTGGGAAGGCGAAAGGAAGGATTCTTTTCCCCCTGAGGACTCCTCAGAGGAAGCATGACCTTGTTGATACTTTGAAGTTCTAGCCTCCAGTCTGTGAGAGAATAAATTTCTATTGTTTTAAGCCACCCAGTTTGTGGTACTTTGTTACAGCATTCCTAGGAAACCAATACTGGCAAGTTCAGCTCCCCAAAAGGCTACATTTGGCACATGGCCCTCCTGCTCAGAACCTCTGGGAGCTTCCCACTGCCAGTGCCCCTGACACTCAAGGCCACCCCACCTCACCTCCTTCCCGCTGCTCTCCCATCCCACCCCTCGCCATCTCTCTACTAGCAACCTGGATGGCTCCACAGCATCCAGTTCTCATTCAGTGGGAGGGAAAAGAGGAAGGAAAGGGGAAGGAAAATGAAATTTTGAACCTGGGTAACTGGAGTCCCTGCTAGAAATAAGGCTGAAAAAGGGAGGTGATCAGCAAGCAGGGGCGTGGGGGTGGATGTACCATTTAAGGCAGTTCGATTTTGTGCAGTCAGAGGTGGCCTGAGGCATTAGGAAGAAAAGTGCTAGAACTCAGACTGGAGAATATACATGGGGGCTTTCTGCCTTCACACCTGCCCCCCACGCCTGAGCCTGACAGACCTGCAGAGGGGCCTCCGAGGGATGCCAGAATTGGTGACTACTTTGAAGCCCAAGGGAGGAGTTCTGATCAGAAGGCAAAGGGAGGTATCCAAGGCTCTAGCAACCTCTGCCTGCCTAGGAGGGCAGATCACTTGGCATCTCTGAGACTTAGGTCCTGGGCTAGAAAGAGAAAGAATCCTGCCTCGCAGAGGGAGATTATATATATTCCCTCACCTGCAGAGTGGAAATAGTAATTCCTACCTTTAGGGAGATTGTCAACATTAAAAGACAGAGCTGCTTGGAGTGATGTGCACTCAACAAAAGCAGCTTCTGTGGATGGTTAAAGGCTTTATCAACTGTGGCAAACTGTACCAGTTCACTTTAGCCTTCTTCGGGTAGTTGTCTGACTACTGCACTGTGAACTCCTTGAGCACAGGACTGTCTGGCTTGGACCCTTGTCCTGGAAGCCTGGCATTCACTTATACTCATTCACTAAGCATCTACTGTGCAGCTACTGTGTGCCAGGTGCTATTCCACTGCTGGGTTGCAGCAGTGAGCAAGGTGGCCAAATGCTGCCTTCCAAGAGCTTAACAAGGTATGTGTAGGTTGTGGGAAGAATGGGGGAGGAAAAGACATTTAGTAAACAGTCAAATAAATAAACAAGAAAACTATGAGCTAGTTCAGTACAGAGCATTGAAACAGGCCAATGAGAATAGAGAGCTGTGACTTGAGATCAGGGAAGGCCTCCCTGAGGAGGTGAGTTTTCTGCTGAGACCTGAAAGAATCCAAGGAGCAGCCATGAGAGAATCAGAACAAAGAGCATTCCAGGAGGACAGAGGAACAAGAGTAGAGGGCCCAGTGTGTGCTGGGCTGGTTTGAAAAAAAGAACAGAATAGCTGGGGGTTGGGGAGGGAGATGGCACATGGTGTTGCACGCAGTAGTTGCTCAATTGGTACTTATCATCCTGGAAATCTGCACGTAGGCAGCTTAGGCTTGGGAGTGAAGCCATACTCGTGCTCAGCGTTCAGTGCTCTGAGTCCAGATGACCTGCCCGCCTGGTCCACAGCGAACTCAGAGTCAAGGACCATACATAGATCATGGAAGCCTAAGTCCTGGCAATGTCCACCCTCACCCCTTTACTCAATCATTTATTCATAGACTTCCTCATCAAATAGTTACTGGGCACCTGCTGCATCCTGGGCCTCATTCCAGGACGTGGGGACATACAAACGACCAAGGTCTGGTCCCAGTGCCATTTTGTAAGTCAGACAGAATCCACAGTAATACCAGATCCGGGAGAGACATCTGCTCCCCTCTTGTAGAGCACGAAAGAGGGAACAGTCAGCCCTGCAGGACCTAGGGATGGTGTCCCAGAGGAGTTGATCCCTGAACCTGGCCCAGAGGGCTGAGCAGCCCTCTCCAGAGTGGAA